GGGGAAAAGGAAAAGAAAGCCCTAATCAAACACCTGACACATTAGAGAACCAGAACAAGAGGCAAACACAGTGGGGAAAATCACACCCCATTCCCCCACCAAAGGAAGTCACTTTCCAGAACTGAAGTGACTGGCATGTCACAATGAACATATGTATGGGAAGCCAGGAATTATATATAATAAGACTCATATCAAAGGCACATTCAAAATACCCATGGGAGAGCAATTCTTAGTATATTAGATAAAATTTAAAACAACATTCAAGGACCAAAAACTAATTCAGAGATGTTGTCTTCAAAATCTGAAGGAAATGTTTTCATTGTGCTATACCCATCCTTTTGAGAGGATAGATTTCAAGTTGGCAAGATCTCAAAAAAGTAACATGTCTCTAGAAGATTCCATATTTTTTGTTGCCAAGCATTTCCTTACATTGGCCTTCACTTACATTACTTAGTAGGCCTTGGAGGCACTTCCCTCTTCTCCATTCCCTTCTACTTCATAACCTAAACTTCATTTGTCCATCCTGTGAAGTCTAGTTTTAAGCCACCCACCGCCTTCCCCAGGAAGGGTGTCCTGTTCCTGCCAGCAGGGTGCAGTCTTTTCCTGCGTGCCTCACAGACCCCTCTGCTCTGGTAGGGCACTTCTACACTACTCTAAGTAGCATGATTTATGGCCAATCTCTTCTCCCTAAACCAACAATATGGGCTTTCTCCAGGCAAAGGTTAGCCAGTTTCTTTTTTGGGGCTCTGTCCTTTCAGCCTCTCTACTCAGCAACTGTGACGTCGAACACAAGTGCTTTAATATGGTAGATATTCACTGATAAGATGACGATGGACTTCAAAATTAATGTTAATCCATTGTACAAAGACTACAGCTCCGAAGCTATTTCATCTCCTGCAAGTCCCTTCCATGTACAGATTTCCTGTCTCAGAGACCCCATGGTCAGGGCAGAAAGGATCATTTTGGGGGAGTCAGGAGGAAAAAAATATTCTTTCAGGTTAAAAAAATGATCATATGACCCAGCAACTTCACTCCTGCGTACACACATATGAGAAGTGAAAACATATGTTCACACAAAAACCTGTACAAACATGCTCATAACAGTATTATTCATAACTAAAAGGTGGACACTATCCAGATGTCCACCAGATGATAAGTGAACACATGAACTGTGACACATCCATAAACTAAAATATTATTTGGCAATAAAAAGGGCTGAAGTACTGATACATGCCAGAGCACGGATGAATCCTGAAAACAGTGTGTAAGTGACAATAGTCAGTCTCAGAGCCCACCTACTGTGTTTGTCCATTTATATGGAATATCCAGAAGAGACAAATCTGTAGAGACAAAGTTAACTAGTGGTTGCCTAGGGCTAAGGGAATTGGAAAAAATGCGGAGTGACTGCTAATTTAGAACGTGGTATTTCTTTGAGGTGGGGATAATGAAAATGTTCTGAAATTGATCATAGTGATGGTTGTACAACACTTTGAATATATTAAAAAGTCCTGAATTACACACTTTGAATGAGTGAATTATATCTCAAGATTTTTTTTTAAAGATCAATGTGGGAATAAATTAAGTTCACATACTACTTGTCTTTAAGGCAGAATCAAAGAACTCCAACTAAAATAGGGCAAGATATGCAAAGTACGGCAAAACAGAACAGGATCGAAACGTGCACTGGGGGTCTGAAAAGGTCAAATTAAACAAAAACAACAAAAAAACAAGGTCATGTTAGCTGATATCTATTTGCCTCAAAACTAACATAGGATCTGCTCACTGTGAAGTTTACTAGTTTAAGAGAAGGCCATAACAAAGGGTAATGAAGAGTACTGCGTTGTTTTACCGGAAGCACAGGGTACCTGGTTACATAAACTTCTGTAGGGCACTTAATTTCGAAAGGCCGTATCTCTAGTTTCACTACTTGCCAATCACCTTCTCTCAAAGGTGTATTCTTGAAGCAATTAGTGGTAAAGTAGTTCACATTTACAGAGGGCTGGGATCTGCAAGTACCAAGAGGTTTACTCCAGGCATTCGCAGAAGACTTGTTACACATGACCTGCAGGGTGAATTAAAGCACCCACTTACAAAATCTTTGTTTGACAGATGCTATGATGATTAGCAAATAAATCTATAAGATTTTTGATTCTTTTGAAATGGATGTGCACCCTGGCCAGGTATCAGTTAGTTAGAGTGTCACTCCACATGCCAAGGTTGCAGGTTAGACCCCCAGTCAGGGCACATACAAGAGCCAACCAATGAATGAGTGAATAAGTGAAACAGCAAATCAATGTCTCTTTCTCTCTCTCTCTCTCTCTCAAACCAATAAACAAAATAGATGTGCAGTCTTTTAAACTATCTAAAATTAAATGACACACATAAGTATTTTTCAACTTTAAGTGTTCATTTTTAAATGGATCTCAAAAAAGCACGATGATATAAAGGCATGGTGGAAGAGAATAGATAAAAATATTCTAATGAATGAGCAGTCTATAATCCCTCTTCCAATATCAAGGATATTAAAATTAATAAACCATACTTACCAAACTACGATTTTAACATAAACTTAAATCCTAGTCTTATCTTTTTTCAGAACTTTAAAACTCACACCTACCCAAGTGTAACTCATTTGAATACATCAAAGTTTTAAGATACTGATCTAATTTTAAAGAAAAATTGACGTAAATAAACTATATTCACTAAACATAGGAAGTAGCCCTTCAATTATCTTTGCCTTTGTTTTCAATTCTCTTCATTTTCTTTTATCTTCAATGCTATTGGTAACTATAGACTTTTTAAAAAATCTCTATGACAAGTAACAGGCACCTGGTCTGACTAAGGACCAATATTTTCATCCACGTTGGTTTGAAAGATATTTACAAGTCCTGTGAAGCTGCATCACCTAACTCAGGACTTGCAGCAGTCATGGACAGAAAGGTCCCAGTCAGGCAACTGGAGACTTCCAAAACCAAACTGGCAAGACCTTGGGTTGCATGATGACGTGCTATAAATCTGAGAAACTGTTTTATTTTAGTATTTGAAAATCGCATGGATAAATTAGTGCAAATGAAACACTCCTGTTTCTGAAATACAAACTATTTTTTAAACCCTTCTCTTTGCACCCTGGTACAAAATGTACAATGTAGAATTCAGCTTCTAAACTACAATATTTACTAGCTACACTGCCAACTTGTGGGAATTAACTTCACTAGATACACACTCATTATTTAATTTTCTTCATTGTTTAACTTCATCTTCATAATTTTACTGTAGTAAGAACATTTAACAAGAGATCTACTCTTTTAATAAATTTTTAAGTGTGTAGTACAGTGCTGTTAACTCCAGGCACAGTTCCGTACAGCAGGTCTCTAGAACTTACTCTTCTTGCATAACTGAAATGTTCTATTGAACAGCAACTCACCGCTTCTTCCTTCTGCAGTCCCTGGCAACCACCACTCTACTCTCTCTCCAGTACGAGTCTGACTACTTTAGATACCTCATATGAGTGGAATCAAACCCTGCTTGTCCTTCTGTGACCAGCCTAATTCACGGAGCATGATGTCCTCCAGTTTCATCCACATTGTCACATCATGACGTTTTAAATGATTAACGTTGGTAGAGCAGATGAACTGATAACAACCGGGCCTCATCTTGCTTCATCAGCTCCCTGCTCCTGCTGTGTGTGGGTTGTCTTTCAGTTAAGACTGTTGCACCTGGAGATGACGTCCCTGCCTGCTGGGGTGAGGACACTGTTCTGAAGTATGGAAACACTGCTTTTGAAGAGTCATGGCCTCCTGGCAGTGTCTCTGTCAACCACTGTGGCAGCTGTGCTTGAGGTCATGAATATTACATAAGGGCGGCCCATGCTTTCAAACCGAATCTCCAAGCCACGATTCCCATAGCAACACACAAAGATTTTACTCATCTCAGAGATGCAGCAGCCGGAGGAAATAGTCTAATGTTACCGTTGATTTTTTAGCAAGACCAACACAATACTTTTTCCAAAGCAGTAATTTTTTTTCCAAAAGAAAACCAACAATCGTGTTAAAATATGTTCCATTTAAAAGTTTCAGAGTATCACACACACCAGAGTAGCTTAAAATTGAATGACAATCCACAGTTGAGAAATAGTGGCTATTCAAATGACTCCATGGGTAACAGCGTCCGAATCCTGACAATTGGTGAAATCTAATACGGTCTCAGCTAAATTCTCTGCTTATAGATTTCATATCTTATATCCAGTCCCCGGTGCCATATATATGCACGTTATTATTATGGGATGGAAAAGAAATGCCCCCAAGGAAGCAGTGTGTTCAATTAATAAAATCCTTTGAAGCTTTATTTTTGAAAGGTATAATATGACCCATTTTTTAAAATATAAGAAAACATTACCATAAAACACCTATGAAATAAAATTTGGGAGAAAGATTATTCAAATAAATACCAAAAATAAACATAAACTTGAAGAAAGTTTGGTTTTTTTTAAACAGAGAAATGGTTTGCTGGAAAAATAAAGAGAAATCATTTTGACATTAGATCCAGTTTTTTCTCTTTGTATAACTAAGGGTCCTTCTGTGTCTAAAACATCCACCATGGAAACACGTTACTTGGATCATAAAATAACATAAAAGCCAAGACCATTCATGTATCACACTTCCTTTTTCTACCAAAGGAATAAGCTCATTTCTTGTACCTCTTTAATTTTTTAATTTAATTTATTTTAATTGTTATTCAAGTACAGTTTTTTGTCTTTTACTCCCAACCCAGCCCACCTCCCCAGTGCTCTCCACCTCCCTCCCATTTCCAACCCCCTTAGTTCTTGTCCATGTGTCCTCCACACTTGTTCCTATCATCTTGTACCTCTTTTAAACCAGACATTAAAATGCTGTAAGGACCCAAACATACATTTTGGGAGAAACTCCCGCAGGTGGTCCATCACGGACCCCGCACAAGCACAACAGGCAGAGGAAGAGCTGGGTGGGGGAAAATAATTTTACCTTTGCTTTTTCCAACTGGGCCTGGGCCTGTCGCTCTGCTTCTCTGCGCACTGCCTCCCGGTCTTCCTCCAGAGACACATCTGAATCGGATGGACGGCTGGTGTAGGAGTCTGCCGAACCCTGGGAAGGAACGTTTCCATTTTAAAATATGTTCCATCTATGACATTTGCATTGGAAATGTTTCACCAACACTACATTTAGCTTCCTGGGTTTTGCTACAAGTTCCTGAAAAGAGGAGAAAATAATCCATCTCGTGGAAAACCATCTAGAAAAATCATGCTCTGGTTTGCAAGCAGATCATTCACTAGGGTAGTTGTGCCTCCCCGAGCCTTAAGTTCCCGTTACTGTCCTTTTCAGAAGCCAGAGCAAGTCCCTTTATATTTCAACCAGCTCCGTGGTGCAGTGCAGGGCTGAAGTGCACAGATGGGTTTCAAGGATAGCCGCAAGAACAACCCACACGCTAAAGCAAGTATTTACAACTAGAAAGAAGATACCACTAATAAAAAACACACAAAAAGTAAAACGAGTTATAAACTTGAACTCCCCCAAATGTCACCATCAGAAGGAAAGCTGCCAGTTTAATCTTAAGCATCCTTTTGTGCCTTTTTATTCACCTGATACCTTCTTTGACAAAACGTAAAACAACAGCAGTCAGCTCCGCTCAATATTTAAGCAACACATTTTTGCATTACCTTTAAATAGATATATAACACCTGTCTACAGAAAACACTGCCCGGGATATCTACTTCGGCAATAAATCACAACACTGGAAAAGGATCTCAGAAAATTACAGGACTCTCCCTGGCTCCCTCTCTCGCACCCGGATCATATTACTAAATGAGGGAACCCGTGCCAGCACTCACTGCAATGATAGCAAAAAGCAAAGGCAAAATAACGTCTCCCCAGACGAAAGCCCTGGAGCTTACACAGATATCAGAATTCTTCAGCCTTCCTCCCTTGGCTCTTTTCAGAAGCCTAATCCAGGTGGCCTTCATTAGCCAGGCAGCGCCTTTCCCATCCGCAGCTGCAGCCCCGGGCACAGATCTTCAGTGCGCGCTGAGCCCTGCAGAACAACCTCTGCTCCTTCCCCATCCATGCTCGGGGCAAGCCCCTTTTCTCGCTCCCTTTCTGCCTCTGGGGCGTTCACTCCCTACCCCGGAGGATTCCAATCCAAAGAGATTCTTATTTTCCCATTCCGAAGGGGAAAACAAACACTCGAATGCTTTATATTGCTTTAAAAATAAAGAACACTTCAAGTGCACTGAAAAACAGGCACCAACTCGTTCTAAACTCAATTCATCTAACTACCCAGAAGATTCTCTTTCCTGCTCTTGGGTTGTTAAAGGAAATTAGTTGTGAGAGAACCTTTAAAAAAAAAAAAGCCTATTGCAAAACGTATGCAGTGACATTTGCAAGTGCAAAGTTCAAGCCTTATCTTCAGAGATCTGGAGGGGGAGGGCGGAGGACGCACTCACTCCACTGGGCATGCTCCATAGGTAGCCTTTTCATGCGGATGCTCACATCACACACACCGTTAGTCTATGTCAAATTGCCATTTGCATTCAACGTGTGAACAGCTGGAAAGGTTCTGGGTTCTATAGTAACAGGCACAAGGTCAGTTTGTCATGTTTGTTTCAGATAAAGCATTCTCTCAGACACAGCATATAATCTTTTCATTTAATGATCCCTGTCCATTACCTGCTTACAGAAAGTCTAATATATGCCACAAGACAATTCACAGACAATAATATTGTATGCAGTACTGGATACAAAAATCAAATAATGCTCATCAACCATAATAGCATACTGCTCCTGAATGCTGTGACTTCCCAAACAAGATGGGAGAGGGAAATTTTCTCACTTAATTAGGATATAAAAGTAGTCACAGCTCCAAGCAATGAGTTTAATGGAGCTCAAAATGACTTTGAACTGCTTCTCCAACTGAGAAACTACTGCTTCAAATAAATTTACTGGAATATATAACAGTGCAAATTGTTATAACAACAATTATGAAGATCCAAAGCTTGGTTGGCTTGTTAGCTCAAGTTAGGATTCGTGGAACAGTTTAGTACAAAGTTTTCTTATAAATAAGGCGACTGAAGTTTGAGAAGGAAATATACTTACATTATTAATTTCCTGTACTAGTGGAATTACACATTGTAAGTTTGTGTATAAAGAAATAAACACTTTCAGGTTTCTTAAACATAATTCTGTCGATGCATTCTAAGCTTCATTTTTGTTTGAGTATGGTGGAGGAACTATTTTGTAAAATCTTATGTAAATGAAAGAAAGGCATTCTTTAAAAATTCCCCCTTACTTTTCTTTTTTTTTAAATTTTATTTAGTTATTTTTCAAGTACAGTTTTTTGTCTATTTCTCCCATCCCGGCCCCCCCCCCCCGCCCCGTGCTCCGCACCTCCCTCCCATTTCCACGGGCCTCAGTTCTTGTCCCTGTGTCTTTCCTATTTGTTCCTCCAAATCCCTCCCCCTTTTTCCCCTTAAATTCCCTTCCCCCTTACTTGTCTGCCCTTCCTTTCTTCCTTTCTTCTTTTACCCTTCCAACTGTGGGCTAACCGCAGTCTTCGCAACATAAATGTTAGGAAGTACAGTGGGATGGGAGTTTGAGTATAAAAGTAATAGATGGAGTGCACCTTCAGTATGCCATCATTACACAAATTAATAAAAAGATTACTCATATTGTTATGAAGTGGATGTAAAATGCATGGAAGATACAAAATGCATTCCAATTTTTTGTTCCAGTAAAATTTTCAAAGTTGATGAGTCTGTCGACACATGCGACAGCATTCTTCACCCTCCCGGGGCGTTTCCTACAGCAGGTGGCACAGGGACACATGCCAAGGAGCACAGTGAAGCCCAGGAAGCGCCAGGGCCCACACGCCCCTTGCTGATGTTTTAGACCCAATCACCCTGCTAAAAGTTCAGGTTACGCCTCAGTGAGGACATGAAGTTTCTGTCATACAGAAGCCCATAATAGGAGGAAAAGTATTAACACGCACAATGTATGCAGTCTTTCCTTTTAAACAGAATAAGATTACTGCCAATAATCAGACATAACTTTAAAAAATTTTGTCTTCTAAACATTATTTTGATTGTTGTCACTATTACAGATGTCCCCCATGTTCTCCCCTTTTGCCCCTACACCCAGTGTCCCCGACCCGCGCCCACACTACACTGTCATCTGTGTCCGTGGGCCATGCATACATGTACACGTGCTCTTGGCTAAGACGTAGCTTTCAATTGCCTGGTCATTTTGAGATCTATTTCCAGGTTTATATAATTCATTGTTTTTTTAAATCTTCTACATTGACTTTTGGCAATGATCTTTGGAATATTTGCAAGACTATACTACCCTTTTAGAACATGAGGTATGACTGTGAACTGTAGTTATAAACTGTTTAGTGGAGCTTATAGAAGAAGCCACGTTACCTCCACAACTTGCCTCTGTAATAGTACATACTTCCAAAATATTTTTCATTATAGAAGTTACACATGCCTGTGGTAGAAAGGGAAAGACACAAGTAAGGTCACTTTGTATCTTCCCACCACTAGTAACCACTATCAAATAGCAGCATCTTGGAGCCTCTGGAGTCCCTGAAATTTTCAAAGTCACCCTCCCAACATGAGTGTTACAATTAATCTCCTTCCTTCTGGGAGTGCGGGTCTTTGCAGTCTAAAGTAATGTATCTAATTACGCTTTGCCTTTGGTACCATATGGACTTTCTAGGTCATTCTGCTTCAAGTTGTCTTTAGTCAGGAACAGCTGGCAGTCATTTCCATTAACTCCAGAACAGGTTCATTACAAGATGTACCCTTGATCTCTTGAGTTCCTACAATGTGATTAACTGGTCTTTTGTAGCATTTGTCCTTGCAGATACATCACATGTTCAACTACCCACATTTCCTTTTCTACATTTTAATGTTCTCATTCCTCATTGTAGGGTTGTAGAATACAACTAGCACCTAATGTCTCATCCAGAATCTTCTACTTTTAACCTCAGAACCCACACTCAAATTATGTTTTCTTTGCTTTTTAGAAATTTTAACTTAATGAGTTTAATTTATGCCTTTACCTAGTCTTCAATTTCTGTTTTTTTCCCCAAACACTTTTATGTAAGTTTGGCACAAAAATGATCATCCTTTTCCTTTAGCATTTTTTTTCCTTTGGTATTTGTAAAGTTTGCTTTGTTGATGTCATACTCTGCTGTGAAATGGTTGTACATACTCCCAGCACCATTTGTTTTGAATGTTCTTGTGCTTTCTCTTTTAAAGCCAAAAGAATGAGAGTTATACTTACTCAGGAGTGACTCTTTAAAAATTTGTTTATTTATTTTTAGAGGGGGGAAAGGGAAGGAGAAAGAGAGGGAGAGAAACATGTGCTAGGGAAATGTCGGTTGGTTGCCTCTCACATACCGCCTGCTGGGGACCAGGTTTGCAACCCAGGTGTGTGCCCTGATTGGGAATCAAACCCACAACCTTCCAGTTCGCAGGCCAGCACTCAATTCACTGAGTAACACCAGCCAGGGCAAGAGTGGCATTTTTGATCCCGAACTGTTCATCTATTCCCCGATGAAGTTTTCATACGAAGTCTACAGCAAATGCTCTTGGACAAAATCAGTTTCTCAGAGTATTCTAAGGTTCCCAAATTCTAGACGAAACAACTTCCCACCCAAGATCCTTAGGACTTCAGATGACCTTGTCATGTAGAGGGCTATGCTAACCAACAGCAAGTTTGACTTCAATTGTTTCTCCCTGACCTGTCATGGGACCGACAGACACCCACTGCCACTCTGGTCTGGCCCACATTCTTCATGTAACGCAAAACGGGATAGAAGTCAGAGAACAAGGACCAAAGGGAAAGGATCTGGCTGTTGTGTGGCTAGGGATGATAATTCCTTCATTCCTCAGGCTGTTATCTCCTTCTGGAGCTTAGGAGAATTAATATGTTGTGTTTTTTTTCCAGTGATGACACCTGGATGTCTCTAAGAAACTACTTTGCCCCTCATGCTTTGTTGGTTTCCTCAGGAAAAAAAACACACTGTTCACAGATCATTCGTGTTCCTGGCAGTAAAAATTCAAATAGGGTGCAAGCTAGAGATTAAG